GGACAGAGCGGCATTCTCTTTTAATGATTGCTTAGTTTCGACTTGCAAGATTGTGATTAGTTCTTTCTAGTATGCAACACGAAACATATTGAATTCGAAAAATAGGTTCTATATTAGACCAACCCATGCCAGGAGTATTGAGTGAAAACCGACGGCTTATTTCGGTTATTGTCATAACCGTCGATTGACTGTGGTTATTTTCTTTGTTCCCATGATTTTCCATTGTAAAAACCCACGATTAACCTCTCAGTGAATCAGATCACTTAGTAATCAGCTAACAATTTACCGATTGCTAATCCGGTTAACTAGGAGCTTGACTGAGATTAACCGTCGAGTTTTACCCTGGAAAATCGTGAGAACAAAGAAAATAACCGTGGCTAGTCGTCGGTTACGCGAATAATCGAAACAGATCTGCATTTTTCGACAGATCCGAATGATAGAGGAAACATCAGTGCTGATATTTCATGTTGAACACACTTTCTGATTTTCTTCTGATTTCGATGAATCTTTTTTCTGCCAATTTTTTCTGATTTTTAAATTATTTTTTTCTGATTTTTAAATTTTTCATTTGGCCACCTTGATGTCCGTGTGAGTGTGGGTGGGTGTGAGTGTGATGGGGGTCGTTGTGCATGGGTGTGGATCTGTATGGGTGCGGGTATGTTGATAGTGTCTTCTCTCACACCCACCCACACCCATGCACAACCACCCCCATATGCACTCACACCCATTCACACCCACACGCACACCCACACCCTCACACCCACATCCACACCCGCACCCTCACACCCACACCCTACTTAATTAAATAATCGTTTTGGTTTGTGAAAAGCACCTGATATTCACTTTTGTTTGATGCATCACAATAGAATCACAAAAGAAATGTTGAATTCATTGTCCTATAGAAGATTATTAAGAAAAATAAACAAAATAAAAGAATTCCTATTACAAAAGCATTTTTGTTAGTCGTTAATCTCGTCTTCAACAAAAGAATTAGGATTTCACAACTTATTATGTGCCTGATATGGATGAAAGCAAATAGATGAAAATCAAATAAAATTGGAAGTAATAATCATGAAAAATATATTGATTGTTTCTTTGAAATATCATTTATTGATCGATTAACATATATGATGTTTAATGTAATTATGTTACAAGTAGTGGTGTAACTATGCGTGGGCCAGGAGGATCTTAGCTCTACCACCAAAATTTTAAGTCCAACCACGCTTACTTTGAAGTTCCTCTCGTGTTTCTAATCATGTCAAAATCTTTAACATTTCCTTGCTCCACATTTCTTCACGATTCACTCGCTTCCTGACTATTTCTTATTTGAAAATTACTGATAAATCTGTCAGAATTCTTGAAAATCTTGCACAAAGTCTTGTCAAGATTCTGAGACTCCGTATCTACACACTTCTTTCAGGATTCATCCGTTTCCTCGGGAAAAAAAGAACCAATCCCGACGCTCTCCTTATCGGATTTCTCAAGGATGTCGTGCAAAAAGCCAAGAATTTAGCCTAAAGTATGTTCCTATTTTATTCTAACATGATTTCATGAATTCCTTCTATTGGATACATTGCACCTTGTAAGGTTAGAAATAGTTCATTGATATTTAAAAGGAAATTTGTTGTAAGTTAGCAACTCCTTCCAGAAAACCATATCTACTTGTTGTTTGATAGGGTGAATGATGTCTGCTAAACTGAGAATAATTTCTCAATGTAGGGGGATACACAAGAAGATAAAAGTTTGGAAAAACGAGTTTAAACCCACGATCTTGAACTGCGATTATGAATCATTAACGCTCAATAATAAAAAAACACGGAAAACGCGTCTTTTAAGGAAAGTTTTCTCTTTCAGAGCGTGAGAATGGTAAAAAAAGCTCTAATTTTTTTAGTGTTAAAATACTTTTAATTTCAGTCTGAAAAAAAATATGTTTCAACACTCAAAAAGTAGGATTTTTCATCGTTTTCACGCTCAAAAGTGAAAAGTGTGCTAAAAAGCGTGTTGTTGCTGTTTTTCTTTTTATTGAGCGTTAATAACTGACAATAGTGGTTCACAGTCGTGAGTTTAAACCCGTTTTTCCAAATTTTTCTCTCCTTGACTATGGTTCAGTTCTCATGAAACCTAACTCCTGAAAGTTGTAAATAATATTATTTTTAGTCTCACTATATTTGGAACCAGGAGCTCAGCCCCAAACATCCGTAAATTTCTGGGTACGCCGCTAGTTACAAGAATATATCTATTATAGAAATACTATGTAATTAATCGAGTTCCTCAACAAAGAATAATTAAAGCTTCTTAAATCAATTTGATTAATTCAATGAAATATACTATACACAATAGACGGGCGAAAAGTAGTATTGTGTTAACGAAAAGATATGATAGATTAATAAATAGCAAATAATGTTTCTCGATTTGTTTTTAATGATGTAAAAGTATTTATATTTCATACATCACTCAATGAATCAATGATGAAAAATTTTAAATACTCATATAGATAGTAACTTGTTGAAAAAAATAATGTGAGACTCGAAAGATTTTTTTCCGACTCATCAACATATCTGAGTGTTTTTTGTTTAGTAATCTTTTTAGAATACATGAGGCATTTGCTTTTAATAATAGAGATTAGACTTATAGTGCAGTCCTATTGGAGCTAAAATATGAAACTCACATATCTTCTTCAGCTTCATTATACTAATACAAAATACAGAGAGTGTTAAATCAAAAATTTTTATTGTTCTTTTTCTGGCGTGCGCTCTAATTTTTCGTTTTCGTTTTCATTTTTGTAATTGTTTTTTCTTAATTTAATATTTTCATTAGTATAAGCATTGAGTTAAATGATAAAGAAAGCTGTTATGTATATCGATTATTTAATACTTGTTGTTAAGTCTGTAATAGGGACCGAAGAGACAGAAAACTTCAACTTGAAACTGATACCCTTTGTTTTCCTCGAAAATACATGCGAGTTCCATAAAAAAGTGTAATACCAAATGGATATTCGTTCCTTTAATTTTCATTCGTTTGTTTTTTGCCATGATTTTTATCTTGTATTTGAAAACAAAAAAGCATCGATTCAGGAGCTTTTTGTGAAGAGACTATCGATACAATATCTACCAGGTAATAATTGAATTCAACAAGCACATTAAAATACGATGCCGTTCTCAATGTAACTTGTTTCAAGCTGTCTGCTACTTGTTTTTGATATATGATATTATTTCAGACTAAAAAACTTTATTTTTAATGAAAAAATAAAATCCAGAAAAGAAAATATTAGAAATACAGTAAGAGATGTTTTGCTACATATTTAGAAAAAGTTAATTCTAATCATTCCGACGATATTTTTTAGAAATAATGATAAAAAGAAAAAGAAGCGTCAAAAACGATATAGTCTAGTCTTGATGCTGCAAATCAAACACATTAAAAACCATCAACTAAAAATATATTGTCTAACAAAAAAAATCATTTTAAGTCATAATTTTAGATAATCCATTCGGTACTATTATTTTTATGACTAACAATCTGGTTGCATATTCGTTTAGTTTTTAAGGTTGTCTGACTATTATTTCGTTAAAAACTATATTGAAACTAATATTTCACGTCCACATCAGCAAGGATGTAACTGCATTGTTTACCAAAGTGTTATGATTAGCAATAAAGAATACAAAATGTAGTCTACAAAAGAAAGAGTGTGGATGTAGGCGGAGAAAATATCAACAATCATACCAAGCTTTGAAGAAGCATAGTATTTCTTGATTGTCTGAGAAAGTTTTAGGCGGTCAGAATGATCTATCTGGGCAGTTAAGAAAAAAGAATGAGAAGATATTATTAAAGAGTTCAACAGTCAAACTAATGAAATACGATTGAAATTATAAAAAAATTAATCACAAATTATATAATTTAATTCAAATAAAAAAAGAAAGAATTGTTGAACGACATTTTTGAACATAGAAGAAATTGGAACAACAAAAAGTAAATATATATGTTTAAAAACAATTGATTTTAATTTTAATTTAAACAGATTATATGATATCAAATTAAATAGAAACATGCTAAAACATGTCAAAGATAGTTGTATTAATAATGATTATTAGTATCATTATTGAACATTTTTTTTTAAATCTCAAATTTATCATTTTTTTTCAAATAACTTTTTTATGTTTTATTCATAAATATTCTATTCTTATGTCAAAAACATAACGTAGTGCGAACTTTTGTCGTCTTTCATAGTTTTAATTTATTTGATTTTTATATCTTTTCTGATTCGTTGTTTAGTTAGAATAATAATTCATATAAAAAAACTATTTGTCGTAAAAGTAACTAAATCAAAATATTTCCAAAATATGTAAGGCTTTCAGAAAGTTTTTTTATCTAGTCTTTAATGGAGTATTGCTAGGTTGACTTTAATATTGTTTCAAAAGACATAATGTGAAAAGGTTAAAAAATCAGTATTCTTAATTCAGTGAACAATCGGGAGAGTTTATAGAAAAATGAGTCTTTATTCATCAGTCACAATTTCTGAATTTCTATAATTGCAAATCATTTGTTGATTATAACAATCATGATTAATGGCTATTCATATTGTTGAATCGATATGATTGTATTGATCTTCTACAAACATTTTAAATATAATTGTTTGCTTATCAATTATTTGACAGAATGTTTATCGAATATAACTCATCTACAATTTAAAATATTCATCACAATTTGGTTGCATAATACCGTAAAAGCTTTCTATCTGTTTCTAAGGTGCAGATATGTCCATATGGTGTGGAGATTTGGATTCTAGTCTTTACTTGATGCACATCCACACCCCACTCTACTGACTGGGATAATTTAGTCTGATTCTCTGAGATCAATACTGGTAACTTTCTAGAACAAAACTACCAATTCCATGGATGACTGAGTTTTCTTTAATGAATGTGTAAAATTTTCTTTTATTGAATAAAACAAATTGACGAGAATAACATATGTTTTTACTTTAAATGAACACTGTTTCATCATCTCTAGGATAACTGTTTTTGAGCTTCATTTCCAAAAATATATTGTAAACCTCGTTTTACTCGATCTTTGTCACTTTGCCAATAATCGTTATTGAAATACCAACCAATTTCCGGTGTTCGAACTAGAGAAATAACACCAACGATGACATCTAACTCATTAGCACTATTCTTTTCGGCGATGACTTGAAGTAATGATGCTGATATTTTACCATTTTTAACACTATAATCAAATTCAATGGTTTCTTCCTGAAATGAATGACGATTCGTAACATATAATCCTTTCATTTTTTTTCTCATATCTTCTTCTAAATCCGAGAATGTTGTATCAATATAATAGGCGAAATCATTCCGAGTCAAATTGGAAGGAAAAGTTGAATAGACAACCGTATTTTTGAATTCGTCTTTACCGCATTTACCATTGAGTGGTACCATCAACCATTCATGATCAGGTTCTTGTTGTAAAAATTTGTTAACATGTGACCTAATCGTATTGGTATGTGCCAGAGTCATACTTGACGTCTGAAAAGGGTGTGATAATATTTGAAACGCCACACTTACAATATTTAAAAAAATTCATGCCGAGATAGATGAAAAATTAGAACTTTTTATTGAAAGGAGCCCCCTCACCAACGAACATTTTTATTTTTCCATGAAATTCAGCCAAAATTTTAAAGAATGTTAGTCTTGGCTAGAGTAGATTATGGTTAAAATATCTCATCAAATCTGCGAGTTATTCACGAGTTATTGTCAATTTATTGGTCAAAAATACCTTGTACGTGGGCAATGTTTTTACAATCATGACACGAGCTAACATCGCGAGAGTGTTTTAAAGTTGTAGAGTATTCTTGGTGCTAGATCCTCACAGAGCCCAATTTTCGAAATTCCTTTTGTTGTTCTATGAAAAATCTTCTCCGAAAAATTCTCGAATTCATCTACAAAAAAATCGCTGATGAAAATAAGATATGTAGCTTTTTTATTTCGCCAATAGAGAAATTCAAAAATTGGACTCTGTGAGGATTTAGCCCTAACTGTCCTCTATGCAATAAGAAAATTATCACTTCTATATTGAGTCGTTATTGAGTAAGGTTTGCCCGCGCAAACAGTATACTCGAAAAACGGACTTTAAGAAAAACAGAAATTTTAAAGTTTTTGAAAACCTTATTGTTTTTCAATATGAAGCTTCAGAAAAACTTATGTAATATTCTTAAAGCTCGTCATAAAATCAATCAACAGTAGTGCATTCGAAAGTAGACACTTTGCTCTATCTAACGAGTTATAAATCACAAAATTGATGCATTTGACAAAAACTGACTTTGTCTGAGGGAGGCACTTAAATATATGTGTGGTATGTTTATTTAAATATTATGTCAGCAAGAGAAAAACTTTCAGAGCATACTCTATATGGTTAAATGTGAAACACAACCCACTATAATGATATATCAGAATCTTAATCCTAATCTTCACACTCTGTAACGAATTCAAAGGCACAGCAAGTCAAAGGTGTCGATCATTTTCTGTAATATTAGAAAGATTATTTTTCAATTTTCTTTTCAGCATATGTGGTAAGAGCTAGAGTATATCACTTGTCATTCTATATGTTACAAAATTCACTAAAACTCGTATTTCAGTAAAATACCCTTTACTGAATATGAAACTAGAGTCATCACTATCTGAACATTCCTGAAAAACTCTTCAATTGTTGTGAGCGTTGTTGGAAATAATATCTACATAGATAAAAAAATATTATTTTAAATTTGGACACAAAACACATTGTTTAGGTCTAGGACTGACTTAATATCTTTACTATCGTTTATAATAAAGAATACAGATAATTGAATTCTTTATCTTTAAAAATTCAAGATAAATGATTCTTTTGTCTAGCAATATTACTGTTGCGAGTGCTCATGGGTCCCTAAACTGATGTTCAGAAAGGTTTTTACCATCAAATAAATATATTCGTATTGAGATATAAAATGAATTACGTTTTTTCTCCGAATATATTGTAGATGCCGATCACAAAAATGAAGATTGAATCAAAACTAATATCATAGTCCGTATCAGCATAAAAAATGGAGTACATTTATGAGATTATCAAAAGATTTTGCGAAGTTTTTCTTTTATCAAAAATTTTACCTGCCATCCTCCTCAGGATGGTTGAGTCAAAATGGAATTACCGAAAACACTGTTTTTTATTATTTAAATATTCTCAATTTTAGAGCTTAGAAACTCGTTTACCATTACCAAAACCTCTTTTTGGTAAAATTTCATTTTCGATCCAATCATCCTTAGGTGGACAACAGGTAAAAGTATTTATGAAAGAAAAACTTCTCAAAACTTTTTGATATACGCATAAATGCCCTTCCTCCTTTATGCTGATACAGACCTTGATATCAATCTTGATTCAATCTTCATTTTTGTCATCCAAATATGATAAATATCGGGAGAAAAAACATAATTCATTTTATATCTCAATACGAATATATTTATTTGATGATAAAAATCTTTCTGAACATCAGTTTAGTGACCTATGAGCACTCACAACAGTAATATCGTTTAAGAAAACAATTCCTCGTTCCTTGAGTTTATCTTTGTTTTTTAAAAACACATAATCTAAATGAACTATTGCAAATGAGTTTCAACCGCTCCTTCAAAACCAAGACAAGATCGTATAATGTAATTCCTCAATCATATTTTTCTAGTCTCATCGAAGTCTTACCGTTCTAATTTGTACCGATGGTATTCTGTTGATTGAATTAAATTTAAAACGCTTTTTATAGCTCCTTTTATTTTAGCTTAGAAGAGTAAAAAAACAATGACACGTAGTTGGTTATATTCAAGACGTAAGATAAATATTATTTTATCAAAAATGCATTTTTCTCTTTCATTCCATTGCCGTTAACGGCAATGGAATG